CGAACATTTTAATTATTGGGGAAGGGTAAACTTAGCCACCCCTTTAGTTTGATAAATAATACAGTATAAGCATACACAATAAATATAAAAATATTTAAAGTTATAACAAAATACCTTAAATAAAAATTAATATCCAATAAATAATAAGAAAAATAACAAAAGTTACAACTAGAAATAATGAAGAAAAATTTCTTTTTTTGGCGCACCCTAATCGTCACTTAACAATTATTGTATTGATCATACATAAATCAGTCATAACCAAGTGTTTAAAAATTTCACTCGACCTTATTAAATGTCAACACAAAATTAGACCTGCGCCCTACCTGGACATCACTTTAACTTAAAAATCGATCGGCTGGGGGGGGGGGTTGTAAGATGAGAAGTAGAGAAAAGTCTTCCGTTTCGGTAATAAACCACACCTAGGTCCATATTTCCGTAAATAAAGGAAGGACATATCGCACTTCGGTAGTGTCACCTTTTCTAACCGTCATTTGTTATTACGATATTGTGCAGTGACAACTAGGAATTACTAATCGATGCACATAAAACATATTTAATTTACTGGCGCATTATTTTTACTGATGGCACCCTTAGTATTTTTATTTAGAGTCTTTTTCTTTCGTTGTACCCTTCAAATCTCATTGGATAATCTGGTACGGGTATGGGTGGCATGACTTCAGGTGTTGCAGATCGCGGACGTCCTGTATCACTCCGATTTTGAAAATAAGACCAAGGTAGTTGACTTCGTAAGCCATCTTCTCCGTGCCGGCTTCGCTCATTTTGAGCCACGGAAGGGGCATCGGTGTTACTAGACCGCGGTTGTTTAACTCTCAAATCAAAAGCATCGGACCCATAGTAAAGTTGCCATCTCTTGATACGTGCCTCATTAGAGTTGGAATCTTCTGTGACTGCGGGAGGAAGTTTCTTAGAAGAATCGTTCGGTAATTTATTGTTTGGATTTACGCGCTGGTGCACCTTTTCTTCCTTCAATTCCGCTTCTTCCATTGTGTAGCTCGGGGGGATACGGACAGTGTCATTACTTACAGGAATACTGTACCGGACAGGAGGGGGCGCATGAATGCGACCCTTCCGGTCCGGGTGCGAACCGCAAACTGAACATATGAGGCACAGGAAAAATATCACGTTTATAAACCAAATTATCACTAGACGTGAAAAAATTACTGCCATTGCTATAGAAGGTATTATCAGATAAGATGTGCTGAAATTGGTCGTGTCGATGTAATCAGAAATGCTATCGTCTGGGTTTTCGTCGGCACCTATGAACCGAAACCATTCTTCTAACGTCTGAAAATTAAAAAATTATGTTTCAAAAATATTCCAGAACTAGCGACCCGCCCCAGCTTCGCACGGGTGCAGTGCTGATACTAAATATCCTACAGAATGTCTTTATATATAACATTCACAGCTTTTTTGTCATTAGACAATACAAATCGCCCCCCCGGCCGTACCGCCGCAACTGCTATGTTCCTGCATTTTAAATCTGTAATATCTTCGAAAATATTCATTTAAATTACATGCTGTAAAGGGCCATATTGATCTATATTAAATGGACAATGTATTTAAAAGTACTTAATTGGATAAGGATTAATGCTGTATTNTTTCTTTTCATCTCATGAAGGGTAAATTATGACTGAAAAAGTTACTCTAACTTAACTTTTAATGATGGAACCCTTCCTCGTCAGATATCGCACTAACTTTTAAAAGTACGCAGCTCCAATAAAAAATAAGTGGGGGGTTTTATTCTACTATTTTGTTTATGAGTTACCGACAACATTAAAGAATCTTATCATTCGCACCAGGAGTTTATCCTTTCCTTGTAGAATGATGCCACCTATAATATAAACCACGTGCTTATAGCTTCTTTGACCTTGATGATCTCGCTAGTGACTTCGGAAGAATGTTAAAACAGATTAAGATCGCTTGGTGTAACGTCTATACCGTTGGGAAGGTTATCTAGCTGTCCCCAGACGAATGAATTTTACGTTGCAGAAACTGGGTGTAAGCGAGCATTATCATAAATCAGCATAGATCATTGAGAAACCATGTCACTTTGTTTTAAATGCATTACCAGAGACGTCTGCATCTATTGGAGAGCCTCAGGGGATAAGGTCCACCAGTAAAACTCGTTTGCTGTCTCTCAAACACTATGCACATGATCTTTAGAGTGAGAAACGTCTTTTTTTTTGTATTTGGGCATGCATATCCTTCACAAAAGGAACTACTATTTCGATTCCAGATCTGAATAGGATATATCCTTACATGAATATAAATAAAACAAAAAAATCCAAAATTCCATATAAAAAAGATTAAAAACCTAAATTAGATTTCTATACCTAAGGTGTCATTTTCAATTACAGACTGACATATGCATATTATAAATATAGTAGTCCAGCAGCGTTCAAGTACTATGCTGTGTTTTATGATGACTGCCTATTAGAATATTTCAGAAACTACTGTGATTTATAACTTGAAAATTTGTACAAAGGCGTTATTGGTTATGCTCTCCAGAATTAAAATAACGACATATATGTAGCACTTTCGGTTATACCGAAATTGATAACAACTTAGACTTAGACTTCTTAACTTTAAATAAAGCACCCGATATATTACCACAGTTTTGAATTTTACTTATGATTCTAGGTAGACATTCATAAGGCTTTCCTACTTCTACAATTTACCGTTTTCTTTTTGTAAAGTAGCACAGAGCAATAGACAGTGAAAAAGCATGCCTATTTTACAGTAGGAAAGCTGAAGCATCATTATTCTCACAAGAGATAAGTATACCCTCAAGCTTCCCGTCCATACTTTCAAAGTGGGTTAATTACATACAGGGTGTTAGATATTTAGTGGCATATTCGTTCAACTTTGAACAATCGTAAGTTTTTTTTTAATGGTACACTGTATATATAACTCAAACACGCATAGTTGCAGTTTAGTCATTAATTAGTTTGATTCTCAATCTCAATTATTGATTATTATAATTTTTTTTATCTCTCGGGAACAGTATTCCTTTTCTGTATAAAATGTGTCCTCATATATATATCATTCTATCTACCTTAAAATGTAATGCATGTATGATAAAATAAATATTTACGTACTTTTGTTTCGGTTACATGTTTCCCGTAAATGACTACAGCAACAGCATCAAAAGTACATATGGTAAAACAGCATATCAGCCATGGTAAATGGAAAATCTTGTATTTCCAACCACTTGCATTGATGCACATTCCAACTGAAAATAATTAACATTTAATTTTCATATGTGTGATAAACAAAAAAAAGTTTTGTTTAAAATACACCAATACAAAATTTAAAATAATTTTCTTTTTTGTTATTTGCCGTTTATAAAAGTCCATTTTTTATCTTGAAAATACCAAGTGCGAATTAGGGTGGCTTAGTTTTCGTTGTAGCGGAATTACAAAATAGTTAGAAATTCACTATTTTATTTTGAAAAATTAACAGAAGAAGTCCACTTTTTTATCAATACCTAAAGATAATAACTTTTCAAAATGCTTTCCAATAAAATAAAGATTTCTTGATGTAGTTATGTGGTAATCTTAACCTTTGAAAGCAGTAACTTCTAGTTACACGTGGTTAAAATTTTAATATACGAATATAGAACAAACAGATGTAAAGTTCAAGACTATACAGTCCATTTCAATTTGTTAGAATTGTGACCTTGTAGAAATCTGCGCGAAGATAGAAAGAATACACACTACGCGTGAGCAAGACAGAAATAGTTGGAACAAGCTCGAACGAGTAGAGCTCTCGATGGACGGTCTTAGGAGATCGGCTGGAACTGTACAGTACTAGACGAAAATGTTTAGCAATTTCTTAAAAACAAAAATGTATATAAATTAGCAATAGAAACAAAGCAAAAGTTTTATAGGTGTGTAGAGCGTTAAGTTAATTCACTTGTTATTATTTTTGGCTAAATATGCTTTTAAATAAAGCATATTCTTAAATTTTAACGAGGCAGTTTAAATAATTTTGTAAACGGTACTGTACACTTTTGTCAAGCTCTCGCTCGATGATCGGTAAAGAAATGAGCTATGCAGACAAATATGATTGAACTTGGAATTATGCTACAGCGCTTGAAATGAACAGTACCTACTAAATGATTAAAAATTAGAAATGGGTACATAAATGGGACCAATAAATGGTTTATCTTTATATCTGTCTATACTTTTTATCGATATCTACCCATTGGATCTTGGTTTAAAAAAAATCGATACGAAAAATACAGAAGTATCGAGTAAGTAGCCGTATAACTATTTGAATTGTTAGATAGCTATAAATGGATAATAAAATTGTGTATGTATAATACGATTTGAATCCTTTAAACTACATTTAACATACCAATAAGGACTAAAGAAGATATTATCCAAACAACATCCAATGCCGTAAAAGCCACTGCAGTCGAATATGTAAATTCTGCTGTACTAGATGTGTCTGGTATGGTGTAAAAGTCATCGATTGTCACATTTACATCTACGATACGTATGGCTGAGGTAATATCGAAGGCTCTACAAGAATCTCCTAGAAATATTTATAATATCGTCATTTTTGCTTTGTATTTTTCCCCTAATATTTATCGACAGGATTATTCAAGCAATTTAGAGGGTAAAAAATATTTTATTGAAAAAAGACATACTTTATATTTGACCCGTATAATCTACTCTGAAGAAGTTTTAACAGCATAAAGCAAAACGTCGGTCTGATTATACATACACACATACATATATTAAATAAAATAATAAAATATTTTTTACCCCTTAAATTGGTTGAATAGTCCTATCGTTATCTAATATATGTCCCCCGCAATGTGCAGTGGACGATTTCAAACTCAATTAATTTATTACGCTCTTTCATGTGACATTATTTCATCTGATAAAATAACAGAATGTAATCAGTGGGACGCCATTGAACAAACTGGAAATCACTTATAAAAATTCAAGTCAAATAACTTTCGATACTTTGTTTTGAAGTTTCTTTTCTTGAGTTTTCTAACTATTTTATTGACTGCTACAATTCCTCTAGTGACACGTCTTATTTATTTATTACTAGCCTTTTCCCAAGGTTTCGCTCGTAGAAATTAATATTGTTTCTACATAAAACGTTTTAACTCCCAATTCACCCCTACAAAGTTTTAATTTTATGTAATGTCGCCATCTTAGATTTCAATTACATACGTAGCAACAGCGTTTCCTCCTTGAGGGTTGATTTTTAAAAATTGCCAGTATACGTATTTGCTTAATTTCAACAATGAGTATTAAGAGCAACCTTCGAGTAAATCCCACTAAAAATAAAATATACACCATGGAAACGTTGCAACATTTTTCCATTCGAATAATTATTTTAGTTTAAGTACCAAGTTTCAAGTAAATTCAACCACAAATAAAATATGTCCCAAACAAAAATTGCAACCCCTTTATAAATCCCCCCTTTGGAGGTTAAATTTTTTAAAATGCCGAGATAGGTGTTTCACAAATTAAATGAGAGAGCATTAAGACCAAATTTCAAATAAATCTGACCACAAATAATATTTATCCCATTCAAACATTGCAACTCCTTTTCGCCCCCCTTCCACCGCAGAGGTTTAATTTTTTAACTAAATTTCAAGTAAATTATAAATAAAATATCTAGCATGTAAAAGTTACGACCCCTTTTCACCCCCTTTCAGAGGTCGAATTGTTTAAAATGCTGAAATAGGTATCAAGTTTTAAGTAAATCTGACCAAAANTTTAAAATTATTTAAGAAAATAAAAGAAAATTGACGTTATGGTTATTATTATATTGGTAAATCTTTCAACAAAACAATATTGTGCGTATGTTTTCTTTTCAACTACAATGTTAGGTTGGGTTTTGGGTTAGGGTTCCGTTCGTCCGAATGAAAAACAGAGCCCTTATAGGATCACTTGTATGTCTGTCTGTCCGTTTTTATATACATTCAATTAATTTGTCAATTACACATGAAAGAGAGCATTGTTGTCATTAATTTGGTATCATTTGATGTGAGATATGGTTGCATTAAAAATCGTCCATTAATAATCCTTTCTAATTGAAAGAGTGCCTAACTCAATGCAAAAAATACTTATTTTGTTAACAGATTAATGATAAGATAAATTAATCATTTAAACCATATTATTATCAATTAGAAGCAGAACTAGGCTGTAAAATTTTCGCAAGATATTTCAATATAGTTTATATAAACTTTACATAGTGATATATGACGTTAAAGAATTAATGACAATACTATCTATTTTCTATTATTATTATCTATCAGTAAGTGTTGCCATCAAATTCCAATTCCAATTATTTATAAATATGTAGTTGATAAGTAGCTAATCCATCTAATATGTAAAGTTCTAAAGTAACATAAAAAAAAGTATGTCATACTACATGGAGTGTAGCTATACCTGAAGTTTTAATGATTTTGAAATGTCGGATGCATATCATTTAATTATCGAAAATTGCGTGAAATTTTAAATTAACTTACTATAAAAGTATGTAAAATACCAAAAATCCATAAAAATGTTATCAGACATGCTAACTTCGCATAGGTTGACACGAATCATCCATATACAGCAAATCATATGAAAAGTGCATTGTACCTGAAATATTACATATTCATTTTGATTATTTTTATTGTTTTTATGACTCTAATATTATAAAATAATTGTATATTATCTGATGGGTACTATAATTACGCTTATACAGTATTCGCAATAATAATCATAGTGATGAAAAATACGATGTGACGATGTGTTTGAAATGAAAAGTAGAAAACATGAATTATCTCAACTTCGTGGTTTTACTATAATAAATATTTATGNGAACGATTGAATTATCTTTTAATGAATAAAAAAATAAATCTCGAACATTGCAATCCTGATTATTTTCATCGCCATTATAGATATCATCGCCACTTACTTTTATAGCTTGACAATCTACTAAAAATGCACTTTATTGGTAGGCATTAATATTTAATTCAATATGTCACTTCTTTCAATTTCTACAGTACAAAAAAAAATTAGGAGTGGCTGATGATTTTCGGTATCTAGGAAGTCAAATAACTCAGGATGGAAGCAGTAGTTGAGGATATAAAACGAAGATAGCGCAGGGTAGAATCGCCTTTAACAAAAATAAGTCACTTCCATGCTCGCGGACGGTTACTCGGAAATTCGGAAAATATTGTTAAATGTTATTTGGAGCACGGCTTTGTGCGGGTGCGAAATATGAACAGAAAACGTTGGAAGCGTTCAAAATGTAGTGTTGCAAATGAATGATGAGGATACCGTGAATTAAAAAGGATATAAATGAGGAGGTATGGGTAAGAGTAGGGGAACAGAGGGCGCTATGGAAGTCAATAATAAAAAGGCGAGACAGGTTGCTAATTAAAGACGTATTAGGAGCAGAAACAGGAGGTAACAGGGGTAGAAGCAGACCTAGTTTAGATTACTGTTCACACAAAACATTCACTTTTTTAGACACAAAAACTATGGTTCTCCTCCCGTTTTCTTTGTTCAATATAGTACAGTCATTAATTGGAACAAGAAATGTAAGAAGATAATGAATATTATCATCTGAGTTATTTCGTATAACAATTTTAATTATTATCACAAATGTAAATATTTTTATCACCAAACGGTGCTTTTCATCATTTCAAGATATTAAAAATTAACTTTCACATTATAGGTATATCTTGCAATTATTCAAATGATGATTAAGGTGAAAAGATTAGCAAATAAGTCGTCACTGTACTTGAAGTTTAATAAATGAGTTTATGAACATGTAACTTTGCCTTCATTCAATCAAAAATTAATTTAAATTTTCATTCGATAGATACAGAGAAAATGGCTCAGTTCAATACAAAGAAAAATAATATAATTATCAGTAATGAAAGTTTCATTTGTTGCTGCAAATTAAATGAAAAGATTAAAATTAAAAAGAGAATAGGCCAAGGTAATCTGTAGTTCTTGCCGAAAACTTTGCAAAGGGCAAACTGAGAGAAGTTTTAAAAGATGAATGTCTGAACATAGAGGCAAAAATATAAAAAACAAAACAAACACTTCAATTACAAAGCATATAATCGAAAAAGGACATAGTTTTAACAACAAATTTCATATATTACATGAAGAGAACAAAGGCTATTAATTAACATTGTTAGAAAACGTAGAGATAAATAAATATAAAAAATTCTCCACCGTTACCATTACCACCATATGATATTTTTACTGTTTGATTTCTATCATTGAATGTTTAATTTAAATGAAAAAAGGTACTTTTGTGGTACTTACTATAGTAAATATACTCGCGCAAATGGAACAACTACTGCTACAACAGCACATCCTGATGAAGTAGGTATGACTAAAACTGTTCACAACCAAATTAAAAAAAAACTTTATTTTGTTCTACATTCGTGTGATTCTGAATACTGTTTGTCACCGAAATACCGATGCAATTGTAAAGAGAGATGTAAAATACTTCCAGGTTTGTTTTTAAAATTATCATATTGATAAGATAATGCCTGATACTTGCGACAAGTGCAAACAGTGAGAATTTTATTAATCAACCAACCAAGAATTAATCATGTTTTAAATAAAAGCATGTGCTTTTTAGTAGAGCTATAGAAACAACATCACAAATTACACGAAGTTTTTAAAAAAATTTAATTCCACGTAGTACTTAAATAAATCATCATCATTAGGTCGTCAGTCCTAAGACTGGTTGGACTCGCACCTCCATTCTTTCCTATCCTGAGCTAATCTTCGCATTTCCTTAAAACTAGAACAACCCACATCTTTAACTATGTGCGAACAGTAATCTAATCTAGGTCTACCTCTACCCCTCCTAACTCCCGTTTCTGCCTCTAATATGCCTCTGACTAGACCTTCATGCCTGAGAAGGTGTCCTACTAACCTATCTCGCCTATTTCATATTGACTTCCATAGAGTCCTCTGTTTCTCCTATTCTTTCTAATACCTCTTCATTTCTAACCTTCTCTATCCACGGTATCCTCATCATTCGCCTGTAACACTACATTTCGATCACTTCAAATCTTTTACAGCGCCGCGCTCCAAACATACACTTTTAACAGCTTTTTTCGAATTTCTAAATTAACCGCTTGCGAGCGTAGAAGTGACTCGATCCTGCGCGATCCTCTGCTTTATATGCCTACTACTCCTTCTGTAGTTCCTTCTGAGTTCCTAGATACCTAAAATCGACCACTTCTTCTAATTGTTCGTCCTCTATCTTTATATTCGCTGTTTCCCTACTTAAATAAATAGTGCAATTTTATTTTGACCTGTAATAGACACGTAAATTAACAGACCAAAGTAATTAAAATTACTTTTAGTTGATCCATTTTTAAATTAATTTTGCTACTTTTACTTCTGGAGTTACACGATATTTAAAAAACCATTTGCAATCTAACGATCGAATTATCTTTTAATGAATAAAAAAATAAATCTCGAACATTGCAATCCTGATTATTTTCATCGCCATTATAGATATCATCGCCAACACACTCTTGATTTGAACGTTTTCTATTAATTTTTTTATACGTATCATAAACTCTTCAAACCTCACAATTCTATCTCTTTATCTTTATCTACGTCAGTCATCTTTGAAAGTGAGTCATTTCAAACTTCTACATCAAATGATTTCTGGAAAAGTTCTATATGAATTGTTTCATCAAATTAGACACAAAGTATTACAAAAAATACATGTGCTGTTGTAGAACACCCGGTAGGAACGATTTTCGACAATTTTTTTTATAAATTGTGATCAAGATATTTTGTAAAAAACTGACAGATAACTAACATATCCATTCTGTAAGTGGTATCTACTCACAATTTTTTGAACTGATAACTTTAGGAATGTTGGTTGTTATTAAAACAGGTTAGTTTTTTAAGATGACTCCTGCAGGGTCCATTCATCAGATGGTAAACTAATCGAATCTACAATTTTTAACTTTTGGATGTTTCATTCCCACCAGTCACTAGTACTGATGGGCGGGCAGTCCCTCTGGACAACGCCGGAAGGTAGGGCAGAAGGCCCTCTCCAGCCTCCTTTCAGAAATCGTGGGAATGGGTGAGTGGTGTTTGGGGTGAGAAAGATGAGACAGACGAAATGAAGACAGAAGAGAATGAAAGATTATCTGTGGAATGAATCTTACTGCCGCAGCATTTACCTAAGTGATCCAAGGAAACC